AGTAAAGCCAATCGACAGCTGATCAAGAGGAATCCGCCGTCATCTTCTGGTGGAATCGACCTTCGAATCTCTTCACCAAACACTCACTCTCCCCTAACAATGTTATCCCTAAAAATTCATCAGAACCCAGTTACTTTGTATATAAGTTGACATGGCTAAACATGTAGTACCAAATATATCAAGCCTTACATTTGACTGGATCACACTAGATGTTTCAGCAAATTGGTTGTGAAACTGGTTAATTCTTATTAAATTGGCCTCTTGCGTCAACCTCTAACGAGGGCTTCATAAAACATTAAAAGGAAGCCTAAAGCATCCTATCGGCAAGCGAGTCACATGCGAATTCATTCCGGAATGCTTGGTGGACCAATTTTGGGAGTAAGGTAAGGGGACTCGTGTCCATGTCTTGGTAACAAGAAGATAAGAAATAGATGGCATCGATGATAAACTATTAATTTTAAAATAACTAAGATTGTAAGTATAGTCCCATCAGAATTCAGCCATTTATCTATTCATTATAGGAGGCAAGATGACGAGTTGAATATTAAATATAAAGGAATATAATAGAGCATTAGCCTCTCCTTCAAGATGTCACACGTTTAAGTGCCCAAGACGACGAAGTTCACACCAAACTGAAACCGATACCGCGTCGGATCACCAGGAGCTCACGATTCCACGAACGCAATGAAATATAAACAGGCTAAAAACTAGCCTCATGGGGCTACATACTTTGTTTTTTGACAGGATCCTCGACATTAAGTGCAAATGTCTCGACCATCTTGCGAAGCCCATCCAAATCACATACAGGATTAGCAGCGGCCACCTCTGTCTGTGAAGATGTTGTTGCCCCTTCCAGTTGAGTGTGCCGAGGCAGCGATTCGTCAGTGACAAACTTCCGGCCCGGGGTCGGCCGATATGCGGGCGGTGTATGAGTGCGTAGTACCTCAAGAACATCTTCCTTCTGCAATTGGTGTGGTGGCTTTGGAGGCCGAATACCAAGCTGGTCTGATAGAAGGCGGGCAAATGAGATCACAAAGCCAACATGATCAGGTTGGGCATGATCAAAAACAATAGGAGTGGGCCTGCGCTTCGGAAGCTGCCAGAAGGGGCTACCATCGGCCAACTTGGCGTCCGAAGGGAAGGCTTCGAGCAGTCGGAGTGCCTTATGTCGGAAGTAGGTTTCGAACTTATCTCTTGCTAAACGCAGACAAGAAGCCCAATCAGCAGGTCGAGAGAGGAGGAAGCGAGCGGTAGCTGGGCTGAAGAGACGAGCCAAGGCATCAGAACTACAGTCGGAAGTATCACAAACGGTAACAGTAGAGGCGAAATCTCCGGCGTCTCTAACTTGAGACTCAGAGTCACGGACTCCAGCCGAGATGAAGCTGTGGTCGGAGGAAGGGACTGCACCAGAACAGAAGTGTGACTGCAGTTGGCGAGCAAGAAGCCGAGCATCTCCATGGTTAGCACCAACTTTAAGCAGCTTCTGCACTTGGTCAGGCTTCAGGGAGAATTGACTGGCAAACTGGTCAACATATAGTTATGGGGAGTTAAAGGTAAGGTAAAATGGCAGATGATTAAGTAAAGGTATCTGATGAACACTGATGAGGATGCCAAATGGCCCCAAAAGGACCATTGGGTGACCCGGGAAACGATAGGAAGAGGCAAGACACGAGTGCTGTAGCAACATAAGCAGCATTTATACATTCTTCGAAGTCTCAGAGTAAACATGAAAGAGTTCTGGAGGGGAGGCCAGCCCAAGTCTCCATTACTTTAGCATAATTTGGCATATTTTCAACATAAGTAGGTTTCAGGACTATGAGTAATCCTGAAGTAAGAACGAAGTCACCCTTGGTTTTTTATGGTAATTTAAAGGCTGAAGGCTGAGTTGTACCACAATGAAATGAGGAGGCCTCATGGTTACAATGAATTTCACATAGTGTTGTCTCTCAAAATGTAATTTAATTCTAGGTGGAATGAAGTTTTGCCCTCGGCTAGATCTCATCAGAACTCCAAACAGGATA